TTTAATGTTGCTGTAGAGGGGGGGGGGCAGGTTATATGGCATGAAACAGGAAAACCGTGTGAACTCCACAATCAGGAAAAAGTTTGGGAGCGCCCCTTCCCGCTCAAATATAAATTGTAGCTGGAACCGGGGGTTGAACGAATCCCCATATGCGGTTTCCATTCGAGATCTCCTTGTGATCGGGAATGAAAGCTGAATTATTGATGATCGAACTTCGAATTAATCTTGACAATTCCCTGAAGTGTATTTTCAGAGCAAAAAAACGACATGGGACCTCTCTCCAAAATTGTACATGTTGACTTTATTCCACGATCTGAGACCGGTAAGGTGATTCGCTCTGAAGTCCTGTTTCTATTGGAGTCGGAAGATGATGATCGCTCAAATGACAATGTTCAAAGTACGTAAATTGTAGTAAATTGCTCCGATGTAGATATATACCTTGAGTGACCGGTTGTTCAGTTCTATGTTCAGTTACTTTCTCTATGCGCCCAGGTTTGTAGTGTTATTCCCTAGTTTTTTTTTTGCTGTTCGTATATGTATAGAAAAGATTCGATAAAATTTTTGGTTTCAAATCTAGCTGTGCATGGTTGTAAGGGGCCGACGGAGGGGTTCCCAGCAGGGTGGGACAGATATTTTCCGTGGCTGCCAGCAGGGTGGGACGGAATTTTTTTCCCTTACGGGAAACTATTCCATCGGCTCTAGCAAATCAGTGCTATGAAGGATATGGAAGAGGCACGACGAAAGTATGTTGACTGTCTGACCTTCTGCAGGTCCCCAGTAGAAACACCATGTGCAGCTGTGCAATCTTTAAAGAACTGGTAACATGTGACGAGTTATTGGCAATCGCGGCGTAGTGCAACACGTCATTTCACTCAAGGGCACAAAATTTCATGTTTACTTGTGATGAAACAGCTAGGGGGTGTTGTTCTCACCGATTTAACTTCTGTTCTTTTTGGGCTTCCTGGGGAGCCACGAGGTCCCTAAAAGTGATAATTTTCTCTTTACTTTGGGCTGCGTCGTTCTGTAATGCCAAAGCTTCAACTCATCTGAAGATGGCTGCTTCGAAAACGTTCCAATCACAATTACCAAACGGCGCACACTATTCATTGAGCATTACATAAAGGATTATAATCTTTATTGCAACTGCATTTGGTTAGCCCATAACTAAGCCCCGGCATTTTTTTCTGACTTGAATATTCGGGTGAAATATTGAATGATGAACTGGTTTGTCAATGCATGTATGTTATATGAAGAAGTGCTCTATAAAATCACATGCTTTTTCATGGCTTTGAACTTTCGCTGATTGTGAGTCTCGAAAATGGAGGGGCAAGTTCACAAAAATGAGCGCGTTCTACATTCTGTTTGGATTTACATTCAAAGGCAAAGCCCACGATCAGATATTCGGGGTAGTGAGACACAAATTTGCACACCAAAACGAGCCAAAGCTAAACTCAGTGGTAGAAAAAAAACGTCGCCCCCGCCATAGGCTCGAATAAAACCCCCTCGCGAGCGCATCTGTGCGAGCAGGGCGAGCAAACGGTGAGAACGGCCAGATCACCGGACAGTAGTGATGTGCCAGAGATGGTTCTTACCATTGTTCTCAGTTGATTGCTTACCTACAACATAATCACTGCTTACGTTCTCTGGCGGGTCTTCCGTTATCATGTCTGGGGGACAGTGGTGGGTGGGGCCAGTGAGGGTGGGTCGGGCCAATAATAGCAACGACGGAATGCTCCATCTGCTCCCCAGTATAGCCCAAACTTGGCTCAAACGAATTCATAATCCTGATTGAACCTTCCAGGCAATTATTGTGCGCGACTGCCGTCAATGAGCTGCGAGTGAATCAGCTTTTTCATACACACGCTTTTTCACGCATGTAGCCGTTTCTTGTCAGCTTGGCAGATCGTCCAGTGTTTGGAAGTTTGCCCCGTTCCCGGCCCTCATCTGAACTATTTGAATAAAGCTGGAGCCGTATTGAGAGACTTTCTTCCTCGACTCTACGGTGCACCCCATTCGAGCAGCACCGCGGTTCAGATTCCGCGATTTCTGCTGCTTCGGCACCGCGATTTCGCGCAGAAAGGTGGTGTTAAAGACCCGTTTTGTGGACTAGGCGCTCTGTCGTAGAAAATTCTATGGTAGAGGATATTCATGAGGTAAAAACTTAGAAGAATAAACCAGTACCGAATATAATCTAAAAAAGGTATCCCATGGACCATAAGGTCCTCTAACAAAAAAACATGGAAACCATCGACAAACCATTTCATCTTTTTCACGAAGTTCTGAAACAGAAAAAAATGCCGCTGCGTATGGGTCAACCTTATTAAGGAAAGTATGACAAATCATAATCAATTATCACTTGGTGATATCCATACTCACAGGTAATTAAGACTGATATATAACGTGAATCTCGCCCCATCAGTTAACCTGAACTAAAAAGTACCTAGACATAGTAAAAATATTACAAGATTCCGCATCCTAGCAGAAACTAATGGTGTTAGGTAGCAACGTAACTATAAGTTTACTGGTGGCTCTGAATAAATAATCTAGCCGAATCTATGAGGTTATTATTGGCAGAATTGGATTTTGAATAGCTCTTTATGAATACGTCGTCAGGAAGGCAACAACCAGTGTAAATGACACGCCTGAGAAAATACCTGAAATAAAAGCATTACTGTAAGATTAAGAATGGAAAACATGAAAAAGGAAAGAATCAATTAACAAGTAGGAAAAGCGAAAGCCGAAAGGGAAGTTTGGATCAAGTGTAAAGCATTGTAGGGAGAATCTCATCAGGGGAAGCCGCACTGGCCGCTGAGGAGGATAGTCGCATTCACCTTCGCAAAAAAATTCCGAGCCGCTAAAAAATAATTTCCGCTTGTTGGTTCTCACGGTTGTTCGCAATATAGCTCTTAGCTGCCGGCGCTACAACTACAGCTTCTGGTGGAGTTTTTAGGAAAGCTGGGAAAAGGCTGCCGAAATTTATGGAATCTAGGAAGATGGAAGCTAGGATAGGGAAGGCGTGATATCAGTAATGGAAACTCGGGAGGCGGGTAATACTGTCAACGATATTTCCGCCATTTCACGAATCACGATGCTCTGCAATGGTTGCGCTTGCCCGTAAAGCCGGCGAAGGAGGGAGCACCTTTCTTCGGTGTATTTAGCACACCAATCACAGACGCCGTCTACATATACTCCCTGGCCGCTTTCAACAGGACGATTTTCGGGGTACAAGACTGCGCGGTATCGCGTACGAACAGCATTCCTAGCTTTTTGGCTCTACATAACATTTTGGCCTCGAACCATTTGGATCACGGCGGTATATACCATTTACGTCACGACCGCATGTCCAAGGTGCTAAGAGGGGAGGAATGAGGCCGCCTCCTGCTGACCTTACAGCCCATAGTGATCGGGTAGGAATCGATCCAGTAAGTGAACAAAAGGTTGTAGAAAACGCCGCGGGTAGGCCCATTCGACTGGCATATGCAATACAACCAGACCAGGTCGCACGTTGGGGAATCCCCAGCGGGAGGGGTATTCGGTCGATGGGGGGAGGGATGAGGGAGGGAGGGGGTCGTAGTTGGTCTGGTTTCTGAACAGCTTGGTTGTCCTTGTTTCACGGACGCCATAAGGGGGGAAATGGAGTCGTAATTGTTCGTTGCTGGGAGAGAGCGAGCGGCAGAATTTTGGGGGCAAACTAGATTTTTTGGGGAAATTCCGGAAAAACGGAAAAGGGTGAAGAAATTTTAGAGACTAGAAAGACACATGATGGGGAAAGAGGAGGAGGTCACATTTTCCAAAGAATTTTCCTGCCAGTTGTGGACGTATCTTGAACACGAACCCGTGCAGCTGAGTCAGCCAGACATCGGCTGGCGGTGAGGGACACTTCGGACCTCCTAGACCGCTTTCTGACCAGAGGATTTGTGCATTTTCCTCACCTAGAATCAAGCATAGTGCAGCTGTCATACCAGCAATCTTTCGCATATTTCTCCGGAACAACTCTGGAATGAAAAAATCTTTCGTGAGTTAGATCAGGTAGATCAAGTCAATTAGACCTGGAGAGTTGGACGAGTACGAGTTCACCTTGGAGCATCACATATAGCGAGAGAACTAAAGTATCCTGATGTAAGAGCCATCACTATTCCCCCGATCAGGAAGGAATATTCGGCTGGAAAAGAGCAAGAATTGTTCAGGCAAGCTTGAAGTGATAGCTGATATACACTTACATTTGAAAATCACAGGAAGGGTCCTGTCGAAAGGTCTGTAATTACAGAACATAAAGAATGGAATAAGGAGACCTCGTAGAAGGACTGGAATCCATAGATATCGAGGCCGAGGGGCTAATTTTTGAAAAAAAAATTTTTTTTTGGAAAAAATGGCTGCTTATCTTTTTTGCAATCAGTTGCCTGTTTCAACAATCGATGAAAACAGGCTGGCAGTGCGCCGAGCCCCAGCCCCACGTCCATCGTCAGCTCGACTACGGTCTACCAGAATAGCATTTGCCGTGGTTGCAAAGTCAAAATATGGGAGTGGCTTGATTACGCTGCTGCCTGTCCTGCGCAGCTACGCGAGCGCCAGAAATGTCATCAGTGGGTGGCTCTGGTTGCTCGATTTTGCCGCGTGAAAGCAACACGTCTGCGCGCGTAAAGAATTTCAGCCAATCACGAGGCGCGTTGCCTTACTCCTGCACCCAATCATAGGGTCTGTTGGTCACGAGTCATTCCGCACAGCTTACTGTCAAATTTCGAGTACAAACCGTGAAAAGTACGAAATATTCAAAACTTTCGTTACCAACCCATTGGACAAAGTTGGCGATGGTAGATCCAACAGTGGCGCAGACGTTGAACGTCAGAAAAGTCGTGATGAAAGTGTAAAGGCGCTCTGAAAACTGGAGTTATTGCACGAAAATGGTTGCAGAGGGTTAGCAAAATACCAAAAACTCGCAGTTAAGCGTGGTTATTAGCTCGGAGCTCATGAGAACGAGGATCTTTGAAAATGTGATGAAAATCATGATGATAATGGGCAGTGCCTCATCGTTAGCAACAGTCCAGGGATTCCAGAAGACATCGACCTGTACATGCTAAGCTCGAGCTAACCACGAGTGTACCCCTTTGTGGTTCGGGGTACGCCTACGGGCTTAGCGAGGTGCCCTGGACGCATTTCCTCAAATATCTTGGGGAACTAAGTCAACTCGAACTCACCTAAGGTAATGTGGTAGGCTGTACTTCATGCTAGACTACTACTGCGCCAGACATATGAAAATAAGCTGTCGCAAAAATAACCTGGCCAGATCGAGTGCCATTCCTGTCCCGGTTCCCTGTAGAGTGGTGTAGTAGCCATCATTGCAGGGAATATAGTGAGACTTACAAAGAATATAAAGTACACATTCCATAGTTGTACCCAACACTGCAAGCATACAAGTAATAAGTATGTAATAGCCTACCGTAACCAGTTAACTTCATACTCTGAAGAGAAAGTTTCTATATATTTCATTGCGAGCGGGCACTACGTGTCTCGACAAAGCCGGTCTGTAATATTGCGTGAACAGCCAGTAAGGATGGCTAGTCTATTTTAGGAAGAATCAGGGAGCGAGAGTGGGGCTACGGGTATGGTGAAAGAGAAGATCGTAAGCTCGCCGGTCTGCGTGCCGACGTCGCGCTCGGCCATGGACGACGATTGCAGGTCATATTAGTCGAGAAATAACAAAATTAATAATTGGCAGCAAAAATATTTCATCTAATGCTACGACCTCACTAGTCTTAAGCATAAAATCCGAGCGTTCTAGTTCGAAAGTTGATTGCAGATCAAGAGACGTCGCCCCGTCGCCGGCGTGCGAGACGAAGCCCGCAGAAGGTACGACTCTGTGTCCGTCTTCACGGGCCTATGGGTAAGTAGCACAATGACGCATGATAAGTATAGTCCCGCGCGCTCTCCTCCTTTAAAATTGATGACCGTGATATGCGTTGTCGCAAAACCATGGCAGAAAGCCTTTTTTCCAAGTGACGGCAATTTTGAAACAATCTCTCGAATCTAGCTTTCAGCCCAGGCTTAGAGGTATTCGATTGTACTCTCGCTGCAGCTCCTTTCTCGACATGGTAAGTATAGAATTCCTGGAATGTAGTGCTCTTAGAAAAGACTCGTGACAAAAATCCGAATTAACAATTTAACAAAAGATGAAACCTGTTTTGTGAGCAATATCAAAGAAAGGCCACAAATGCACAGTATAAGCAACGAAATAGTAAAGTAAGTGATGGCGATGGAGCGTACGTCAGAAAGGACTGAAAGATAGTTGCGAACAACAAACTGTGAAAAGATAGTCTAAATCGGAAAACACTTACTCATCGTTACAAGTATTGAAAGTACGGTAGTGAATGTTCCACATAAGTTATTTCCAAGAATAAGAGCATTAGTGTATTCAGCAGGAAAGTCGGCGAATAAGCCGAAAGTCGAATTTTGATATAGGCCATTCGAAAAGTTGATGATTGCCACGATGACCAACGTGGCAACGTAAAACCAAGCCATATCTGAAATAGGAGTTGAACGTTGGGAATGCGCCATGCACGACACTCCAGTGGTCATTTCCCAGGGTGATTGATTGCTGAACAATTTATTGCTTGGAACTGATATTTCTGTGACACTGTCTTTCTTTACTATTTGCATTTCACCGGATCGAATCATGGCCTGCGTAAATGAGCAAGAACTTCTTACAAACGGCAGTGGCTTGAACACGTGATTCGGAAATCGGAACATTCGTGCAATAGTTCGGATGTGAACTAAGGATGATTTTATGGGTTATTCAACGGAGCCCTTACTTACACTACCACAAAATTACCAAACTACCAAAAACAGCAAGGCAATTTCACCGAATGGATACATTTCCTGAAAACCACATTCTACGCCATGTACAAAAAAAGCTCGCAACAAGGCCCTCTTTTATGGGGAACTAAGAGTAGTCCCCAAAGAGGAAGGGGACGTCGTGCACTTTGTAGTGAACAGTAGATTTAATGATCGGAAAAAAAGCTAATTTTCTTCGAAAAAAATCACGCTTCTGAACGCCCATAAACACTGTCTCAGTGATTTGAAAGAGCAATCCACGCTGAGCACGTTCGGATCCAGGCCTACAATTACTGTTCCCTAAATGCCCTACTTTCTTTCCTAGGTCGGTGAAAAAAAAGAGCACCAATAAGGGAAGCTCTGTGACAGACCTATCCCGTCCCAGTGTCTCTTGCTTGAACACTGAGGCTGCGTTCATACTTTGCTGCAGCGTCCACCAGCATCTACCAGCGTCCGACAGCGTCAGCGACTAGGAAAGTATAAATATCGATTTAGCGTCTGCCAGCGTCTACCATGTCCACCAGCGTTCGATAGCGACCGGGAGTAGAGAGTATGGGGGAGCAGGAGGGCAGCAAACAGCTAGATTAGGCGTCGTGGAATTGCGGCGTGTGCAACCGCACTGCACAATTACTGAAGAACAGAACTAAGCAATTCAGTACTGCGTAGTGGACACGACGCCTAATCCAGCTGTTTGCTACCCTCCTACTTCCCCACACTCTCTACTCCCGGTCGCTGGTGAACGCTGGTGGACGCTGGCAGACGCTAGATCGATATCTATACTTTCCTAGTCGCTGACGCTGCCGGACGCTCGAACGCTAGTGGACGCTGGTAGACGCTGGCAGACGCTGCCGCAAAGTATGAACGCAGCCTGACAATGAAAAGTACTGATACTGTTTTTCATTGCGAAAATAGGGTAAAGTTACGAATTAGCTTAACGGACCTTCTTCTGATGGCAGAACGAACACGATTAGCATGATTGTAGCGAACACACTAGCACAATTTATAACTATTGGACCGGCAATTCGAAGTAATAAAGCACCTCTGGAAACAGTTTTTACTGTAACAGTTCCAAGATGTGTAGAACATTCGAGAACTTACCCAATGACTGCAAATGTATTAATAACATTAATCAAAACATTTGGAAGCTGCGCTGAGATACCTAATGAGCTCATGAAATTTTTCGAGTATTCCGTTTGCGTGTTATTTGGAGTGAACCAGTATTCAACATAGTACTAAACAATGCATTGAAATGTACTCATCAATCGAGAATCGCCTATTGACACTGTCCACGATAACCGAATAGGTGGAGACAGAAAACCACTTGGGCGTGCTGGTTGGACGTGTCCCGCCAGAAGATGGAAACTTCACAATGAGATGGTTCGCAGTCTCTACCCATACAGCTGACTATGATATGTACTTTCAGATCCATATTCATGAACGAACCTGAGGTGCTATGGTGATGAACATGTTCCATGGCATTAGGACACCAATACCATGAAGCATTGCTATGAAATAGACCAGCAAGCACTGAACACAAAATGCATCTTCCTTCCTTCATAATTTTCGGAAAAAAAAAGCTAGAAAAATATAAACTGAAAAAGGACCAAACTAAAAGAGGCTGAGAGTATATATCTGTCCCAATACCGAGCATCGATACGCCAATAAATAAACATGTGAAACAGACAAGCCACTGCGAAACAACCCCCCCCTTCTACCAATTTTCAGATTTTCCCAACTTCCTGCCACTTTTTTTCCAAAATTTCCCGAAAAGTCCCTAATTTCCCCAAAATTTTGCTGTCGAACGAAGCGAGGTATCACAAGAAAAAGTCAACCGCCGCTCGTGAAACGCCAAAACGTATATACGACCCCCCCCCCTCCCAATAATGACCAAGTACCCCACCCTCCCTCTTTTCTAACGTACCGTGAAACAGGAAAATCAACCATCAAAATACAATTTTTCCCACCCCAAATACGACCTCCTTATTGGAGGATTCCCCAACAACGATGTGCCCTGAATCAAATAGTGCTCATTTTCTCAAAAATACACAGGTATCCTTGATGTACCCCCTAGATCCCGAAGATCTAAAGGGCGTGGCTATGTCATTCAGCAGAATGTGGCGATGACTGCTCGTTTGATTGAATGCTGCCGTCCGGGACAATCGTAGTAATGTCATTGTTCAGCACAAGACGTCTCTGGAGATATCCTATCAAAGGCGCATCTTACGGCGTACCGAAATGAAATACGCAGTCAAGCCCTCCCTAACTCCGTGTGGGGTGTAATTATTGTAGGTAAGTCGAGCTCCCGTTTCATTCATGGAGAGTTCCTTCTACTAATGATTCACCTATGAGGAGGAGGACAGGGTCAAGCATGCAGCGTAAATTCGGTTCCATGGTCATAACAGATTCAGTAATTTTTTTTGGTAAATTGGTGAGCTACAGTAATCCAGTTCTCACATTTTACCCACCTCCGCTAATGGATGTAAGAAGAAGGGAATAGATTAGAATAAGTAGAGATCACGGCATTCCGGTCTACCCTGCTACTGCGAAACTCGTCAATAAAAGTACAAAATAGGTGGGGAAGAGGGTAATCTTTTTTCCGAATCATACATCAGCCGCGCTCTACACAGCTTCTTGAAATTCCTTGGCCTTTCTCCTCAAATTCCGCTGAGGGTAACATCACGTCCATTTTCACTTCGTATCTCTGAGATGGAGAGGGCGTCACCACGTACCCCTGCGGACTCATCAGCAGTTGCATTTCCGTGATCGGTGGCCGGTCAGGTCACAAAGTGAATAGAAGTTTATCGAGCCTCTCTCGTGCCGTCTGCGCTTACGATACTTGCCTATCTAACTGAATTGGCAGTTGTCTAGCGCTACTGCGGTCACATGTAATTTTATGGACTACCCTTTCAATCCTCGGGATATGAACTGTATTTTTCACACATAACTTCCACATGGAAGTTACACTAGTCACACAATACTTGGTTTTTTCCTCTCATTTCCTACGCATCTTCAATACGGTAAGCGGTAAAACTTACTTTATCCTTCGGAGGAGCAGACGCTTGCTTCATACTACCGAGGAAGGCTGCACGTTCATCGACTGAAAAAGTATCATTTTTTCAGATAAATTTACATATTCCGTAATGTTTTGAATTCTTCTCTGATCAAGGTAGGGAATACTAATAACTTTTCCTATACAAATTTAATTCAACTATTGATCGAATCAATGTACTCGCACTATCCTTGACAGACGATTTATTTTACTAGAGCAGCCGATCTATAGAAAGGCTTCACTTCACCATTAGGGTCCTTTCGCTGGCATAACAGCTGACCCTTACAAAAATAGCGCCAGCACTGGGTTTTGACTGAGGTCCAACTCATCCCGTCCACTTGATTTCATATATTTGTAATAAAAAAGCCAGTGTGTACTCTGGTTGGGACACGTGACATGGGACATGTCAGAGGGTTGTATTTGGCGCGGTGCCAGCTCGTTGTTCTCCAAATGTTAAGGTTGGAGAAGCGACAACCGGCGGAAAATGAGCTGGCGCCGCGCCAAACCCAGCCACCTGACGCGCCTCAGCATCCTCAGCAAACAGGACTGTAGGTGCCGCTAAACGAACTTTAACGTGAAATCTGCCAAAACGTGCTTCGTTTGCAACTTCTGGGCTTCGGGATCCAAAGATGAATTGGTGAATGGTTTTGGTCGACTTTTCAAGAAAAGTACAAAAACCGCAGAAGATGCCTCGATTAAAGTCCCGGGACTGAGCGAATATTCCGAGAAACGACAACTACTTCGCGGGCGAGAAAGAGACCAATGATGAGCACACAGGAAGACGAGCGAGGGAGGGTGCAGTTTAGGCTCCCCCCAAATATAACATGTTAACCATTTTGAGATTCTCCTTCGACCTTCCTCATGCTTTCAAAAGGCAATTCAAGTCTAGGGATTCAAGTAGGCCATCCGGCTGGGCGGTGTCAAGAAGCATGGAATGAGCCCACCTGCGGCTGCGTTCTCTACCAATGGCGGCCGGTTCGGGCAAAAAGTAACCAGCGGTAAGAAGCGCCGCAGGTGAGCTCATTCCTTGCCTCCTAACACGACGATAACAACTGTATGATCAAGTCAAATAGTACCTAGCAGTAATAAGTAAAATAGACCAAGTGAACAGATTAGTTCACGAGGAGCTTTGATACTTTGAACGCAAATGTCACATCTGTGTCAGGCAAACATTTGCCGTTTCTCCCAAAACAGATGTTATTTTCGCGTTCATCAAGTCACAATGCCCTTTTCTAGGCACAAATTTCAACAGATTCATCAGTCTAATGCGTGTTGACGCTAGTGTTCGTGACGCCAGCGCTACGCCTTTTGCGCAAAACGAAGGTTATGTTCATATTCAAAGGGCCAAACTACCATGAACCAGGGCACATCGTCGTTGGGATCCCCGGCAAACGCAGGGATCGTATTGCCCATCGTAAGTCTTCATGAAGAGAGGTTGGCTGATATTCCGTAGTTTTCTTGTTTCATATGTTCTATATCCTCCCCCCACTCCGTATCGACAGCTCGATAAGGAGGAGTAGGGGGTGGGGTCGTATCGCGAGCTGGCCTTTTAGGGGAACGGTACCGAGCCAGCTCCTATGGTGGGGCGGGGGTCGCAGGGGACTCCAACCAAATCGCGCACCAATGAAGTGCCATGCCACGAACACTGTTTCTTCACCAAATCCAATTTTGGAGCCTCGAAATGTGCAGCCACCAGGGTAAATGTCTCCGTTTGATAGCGCGTTCGTGGGAATTTTGTCCGTTGATAAATTGGGTTCACGGGACATTTTTGGGAGGGTCCTGGACGAGCAACTCAATAGACTTGTAAAGTTAAGTGTTTTGAACTATGTGTACATATTGAGCGTCACTTTGCTTCTTTCAAACAGCATGGGTAGGTGGCGTATAATTTCAGCCAAGGCCATGACAGGTTGAGTCTTTCTCCTTCCGACTTCGACTTTGAATTCATCAAATATCAAACAAGAACAGTCATTTATGAAAGGTGATCAATTGAGGGGAGGGAGAGATTAATGAGAGTATAGGTCGCTGACACGCACAAGTTGCTGAATGCATCGCCTCATCATGTGCATATGGTAGCCTGGTGATATCACAATCTCACACTGATAGTGCACTATGCTACCCACAAGTGCTTTCGTTGAGGGTGCTTTCGCCTGGGAGGGGAGCGGGGGAGAAGGAAGGAATCATGCTCATCCACTGAATAGCGGTCTTCTTCATCATGTAAGCTCAACAGGATTTGGTATCATCGCAGTCTGGCGGGGCGGTGTCAGTGGGCGTGATGTGAGCTAACCCGCGGCGCTTCCTACCATTGGTGGCTGTCCTCTACTGGTATAAAACCCAATGGAAGGGTTCATGGGCTCATTTCACGCTCCTGACCCCGCCCAGCCAGACTACGACGACATCAACTATAGATCCATGGAATCCCTTTTTTACATTTCACGTGGGGCTTTAGTATGGCTTCAGCCTCGAGCCTTTCTTCCATTTACTGGATACGACGGGGGAGGTTAGAGTAGCGTACCTACTCCTCGATTCCAGCAACTTTTTCAAAAGACTCGTTCCACGCTTGGAGATGAGCAATCCACCATTTGACCTTGCGGTTCATGTCGATCAGAGCGAACAAGTGTTCGACAGACTAGCCAGGTTTTTACTTCCTTCGGATTCAACCTTAGATCTCCTGTTGCTCAGGTAGCGTCAACACTGGCGCTGGCAATTCGCGGGTAGTGCGGTACAGGGTCTAGGATACTGGAAAGTATCACATAGGGCAATGGAACCATAGTCATGGAATTCGTTATTTATTTATTTGTTTATTTATTTATTATGCATTCATAGGACGGACGAGCTGTAGCAAACAGTCATATTATGGCCCTATTGCAGACCCCAAATGGGGGGCAAGGGGACAATTCGTTGTGCGTAAGAGCGAGATAGAAAGCCGTCATAGCAGAGAGCCTTCATAGCCTTTCAACAGAACACCCCTTGAGCTAAGGTCACAAAGGGTCACGGGAACGTGCCAATGAAGAAAGCACAACTGTCCTCTTTCCACGCCCATACGACCGTCGCAGATTGTGCTTCTGCTGAAACAGCCTGGTGTAACACTAACCTATCCCTTACCCCAGCAAATTCGGTAGAAACCCAACAACTTTGTAGCTCATTACGAGTAGTTAGAGATCATTAGAGAGAGAGAGATCAATAAGAGCGAGCGATAGACCACACCCAAGT